CCCACGAGGGCGCGAAGTTATTCGCGCTTCGCGCTTCGCGGTCCTCGTTCCTTCTCCCCCTCCTCCTCGTCCTCCTTTTCTCCCTTTGGGGGGGCGGCGCGAGGGCGCGAAGTTATTCGCGCTTCGCGCTTCGCGGAGCGCGAAGCGCGAAGTTGGGAGCCCTAGGAGCCCTCTCGAGCCTTTGGGCTTTGGTCTGCTGCGTGGGGACCTCGGCGCAGTGGCCCCATCGCTCACCACCCACCAAAAACCAAACCCCAAGTCCACCCGAATGGCCCCAAATTTATTCCTCGCATTTCCAGTGGGGGGCGGTCTCGGGGAACGTTGAAAAAACACATGGAGATATCAGTACCCACCCCCCACCCGAAATCGGGTCAAATTCGGGTCTTGGGGTTGGGTTGGGGTGCTCGGTCTGGTAGGTTATGCGGCGCGGAGTCCCGCGGGAGAGGCCCCCCCACTCCCCACCGACCCCACCCGACACACGCCCGACCTCACCCCCCCCCCCCCCGACCCCTCGAGCTGAGGGGGGCCCGGGCGGCGTCGAATGCCCACGCCCCGCCCGCGCCATGCGCCGCCTGCGCGCCAGTTTCGGGACGTCTGCCGTCAGTTTCGGGGGCTTTTTCTGCTGGGACGAGTTCGTCGGGCCTCTCGCCGAGGCTCCCGCGCCTCCCGCCCTCCTCGAGTTTTTTTTTGGATGTTTTTTGGCGCGTTCCAGAATGCTGCGATCTTTTGACAGGCGCCTCCACCTTGGGACAGGACTTGCCGGGCGGCCCCGTCGTTCGAGACGCCCGCGGGATCAGGGTCGATGGCCTCGGGGACGCTACTGCGGAATCTGAGCGCCGCGTCGTCCATTTTGCAGGCCAGTCCACTGGCGGCCTCGCGAACGCGGGACCAGGGGGGCGCCGCGCGCGTTTTCTCGAAGGGCCGTCAGGGTTCCGAGCCCGTCGCGGCCTTCATCTCCGAGGGGCGCGTCATCTCGGACCCGCAATCCCTGCTTGTAGATGGGCCCATTAGGTTCTGAGACCCTTGGGAAGCTCGGGCTCGCTCTTCTAGGTTCGATCGCCAAATTTGGACCCCCCCGATCCCCGCGGAAGCGATTTGGGAGGTTGCGACGACTTTTTCCCGCGAGTCCGCCGTCGAGCTGGGGGCGTTTCACACCCGCCATTTCCGCGTTCTCTCGGGCGGGGCCTCGGGGCCTCCTCAACTCCGGGGTTCGTGGAGGCCCTCGGGATGCGGCCGCCTCAGCTCAGGGCGGGCATCGTCGCCCCGATTCACAGAGCCACCCCGAGTTTCCGACGCGTGGGGGCGCTTCCCAGTTTGTGCTGATGTTTGGGCGGGTGTCGCCGTGAACGCGCCGTCGCCCGGGAAGGCGCGCGCGCGCGACCGTGCAGGGCTCTCGGGCAGAGCGCGTCTGCCAGCGACGTTGTTTGGCGACAGGCAGCGCGCCCAGAACAGTCCAGATCCGGATCCGAGACCGCCCGTGACCTCCTCTGGGAATGCGTCAGGAGCTGCGCGAGGATCTCCCTATCAGCATACGTGCCTTGAGTTGCGAGCGGCGCGTTTTGCCCCCAGCTGTCGCTTCGTTGTGTCTGGCAGGGTGCAGGTCGGGTCGTTTCCTAGTGATAGGTGGGGTCGTGCCTTGTCCCGTGTGGTCGAGTCGGTGGCGTTGCCAGCGGCAGCTTCGCCGCCGCGCGCATCTGCCTGCTTGCTTCGGGCAGGTTCGACAGGCTCGTTGTTCCCCCCGCCGTCTCTTTCGACGCTTGAATCGGCGATCCCAGTATCAATGATGGGCGCGCGTGCGCGGCGGTGGCGGGGTGGACGGGCGCGGGCGGGCGTTGGGTGAGGGGGGGGGCAGGGTTGCCGGGGGCATTCGCGAGCTCGCCTCCAGCCTCGGGGAGGACGTCGGGGGCGTTGCGCGCGGCCGGGACAAAGTGGGGGTGGTTTCACCAAATTCGCTGTCTAGTCTTTTGCGGCGCCTCTCGGAGACCTTGCGAGCCCCCGCCAGCAGTCCATCGCGCCCGGGAGCCGAGGATGCTGCAGGGGGTGCCCGCAGCGTTCGCAGACGCAGCGCTCGAGCCAGGGGGGGAACCAGAAGAGACGAGACGCGCTCGCCGTCTCGTTGGTCAACGACTTGTTAGGGGACGCAGGGCGATCTAGTTGTGCGTCTCGGGCCCCCTCCCAGGACTTCCTGACGTTGGTGAAATCCATGGGGGCAGCGATGTGGGGTTGTTGCGTGAGGGGGATGCGTGCTTGTGGAAGCAGGGGCTTCGCCGCTGTCAGCAGGTTCGAAAGCGACCCCGCGTGGTTCGGGTCAGTCTTCCTTGTCGCGCGCCGGTCCCAAGAAGTGCGGGCGCGCCGCGCCCGTGCTTCGGCTGCTTATCGCGTGGAACGAACTTCGAGAGCTCTGGGACGACAGCTTTCACCGCGAGTGGTTATGGCGTTCGTGTCCTCTCAGTCCTCTCCTTCGGGGGCCATGCAGCTTTCCCAAGGTATGATTCCTGCTCGGGTCCTTTCTGCTCTTCGAAACGGTCGCGAACACGTTCTTCATGGCTTCTTGTTTGTCCGCCCACCCTCAGGGCGACGCCCCCCCCCGTGGCCGACGACGGGGGAAGCCTGGGTGGACTCGGCTCCGTAATTTCACCCAGATGTTTCGACGCAGAGGGCATCGAATGCCCTTCTGACGGCTTAAGGGAGCTCTGGGGTGGCGTTTTCCCGGCTGGATCCCTTCTGAAATCGGCCGTTCGGGATGTGGGCTGCGGGGTTGGGGCCTGGCCGCGCTCGGTCCAGGAGTCAGCCCTTCGAGCGCGGCGTACGGCCTGGTTTGGAGCAGCCTGCGGATTGCCCGGGCGGGTGAATTCACACCTTGAGCTGTTTGTCACCACCCACCAAACCACCCCAACCCAACCCGAAGGCCCAAATTTATCCTCGATTTCCAGTGGGGGGGGGGTCGGGGAACGTTGAAAAAACACATGATATCCGTACCCCCCCCAACCCGAAATTCGGGTCAAGTTCGGGTCTTCGGGTTGGGCTGGGGTGGTCTGGTAGGTAGTCCGTTTGCGGCGCCCTCTCGTCCAGACCCGGCGTCCGTGAGTCTGGCGCTGACGAGCGGTGCGAATTCTGTGATTTTTTTTCCCGCCCGTCGCCCGACGGACCTCGTAGCAAGGGCTCCCCCGAGGGCGCGAAGTGATTCGCGCTTCGCGCTTCGCGGTCCTCGTTTCTCCTCCCCCTCCTCCTCGTCCTCCTCCTCTCCCCCTTGGGGGGCGGCGCGAGAGCGCGAAGTTATTCGCGCTTCGCGCTTCGCGCAGCGCGAAGCGCGAACTTAGGAGCCCTTGCGTAGGGGGATGGCGATGCAGGGGTGGGCTCCCCGGGGAGGGGTGATGGTCTGCTTCGAGGGGGTGAAGTCCCGCGAGGCGATCGACGGCTCCAGTCTTTCTTGTCGTTCGTGCTTTCCGAGGATCGGTGGCGACTCTCGTTGATCTTGCGACGAGGTTCGGGGCGGAGTCGCGCCCGTCTGATTCGTCCGCGGTGCTCGCAGATGTTGATTCTTCAGTTGTGTCAAGGAATCCCATTCCCAAGGAGAATCACTCTTCGATAAGCGACGATGTGCGACACTTATGTTACTTTGAACGCGTACCGCCACGTATTTCTTCCGAGAAGTTCGACCAGCAGCGTTTTGACTTTCACGACAATGGCCGCACGATTGGCTATCTCTGTTGCTCATCCGTTTCTTTCAACTTGCAACTTGGGTTAGTGCAAAGGAGAAACTCATCATAGAGGGAACACGGAACTGGGCAACAAGACGTGGTCATCGAAGGCCCGCGACCTCTTCCTCCTCTCCTTTTTTTTGCCTCCTCCTCCGCCTCCTCCTCCTCCTCCAGTACTTCTTCTCTCCTCCTCGCCCTCCTCACCCTCCTCCTCCTTTTCCTCCTCCGCCTTCGCCTCCGCCCCTTTCTCCTTGTCCTCCTCCTCCTCCTCCTCCTCCTCCTCCTCCTCCTCCTCCTCCTCCCCCTCCTCCTCATGTTTTCTCCTCCTCCTCCCCCTCCTCCTCCACCTCCTTTCTCCACCTTCTCTTATCATGTGTTTCTCTCGTCCCCCTCCTCTCCTCTCCCCCGTCTTGGACCTCCTAACCCCCCCTCTCGTCCTCGAACCCTATCTCTTCCATGTTACGTTCCCCCTTCCTTTTCCGATTCGCAGCCAGCTTGGCCCAAGTCGGCGAACCGAGGCGTCACTATTGTGGGCTGCGGGTCTGACAGAGCTGTCGTGGCATGGAGGGCGGGAGAAATGGGGAGGGATGTGGAGAGACTGGGGGGGATGAGAGGGAATGTGCATGGCGTGAAGGGGGACGGGAGCAGACAAACCCGAATATGGATCAGGGGTGGAACTAAACGGTGTGTTTGCGATTTCGTGTGCCATTTTCGTTTTGATGTCGTTTTGCAGCAAAGGCGAATTCAAGACAGAACGAGGGAAAACGACAACATAGCGAACACGAAAACCACTGTTTAGGTCCAGCCCTGATGGATCAAGGCGCGTGGATTACCGACGAGCCTCGTTTCCATACGGAGGTCGACGCGCACCCTCGGCAAACCAGGCGGCGCTGGCTTCGTGGCGTCGGGGGGGCGCGTCGAGTCGACCGACTAGACTTTTCGAGTGCCTTCCCGCCCCGCGGCCACGCGTCAGATCCACTGATCTGTGATCCATGTCAGCGCGCGCGTGACTGAGGAGGGATGCGTGGGTGATAGGGGGTCGGGGGGAATGGGCGGCGGGGTGGGCAGGGAACGCGGGGGGAGGCGAAGGGGTGTGGGAATCGTGGGAGGAAGGGGGCGACGTACACGAGCTTGAGGGACGCAGGGGTGGGCGGGGGGGAGCGCAGAAGTCAGGAGGGAGGTGGAGGGAGAGGGGGCAAACGGTGAGGGAGGGGGTGCAATGGTGGGAGGTGAAATTCTTGTCTTCCCCGTCTCCCTGCCACGGCGAATCCAGGGCGTGTCCAACACGTCATTCGAGTTATGAGTCCTCTGTGGAATGCAGTCGAAGTAGCCTGGCACGCTGACGGCAGCTTGTGGGTATCAGTGAATGCTTGGGCTCTGCCAGTGTTGGCGCTGTTCGTTGTGTTGGGATCACAGCTTCGCGCCACCGAGCTGCTTCGGAAGTGTTTTGGAAGACGCATGGAATATCGAAGACGCCTTCGGTGAATCACCGCCGCCCCTACCTTTGGAACAACGCCTGTGTCGTGAAACGTCTTAGCGAAAGTGCAGTCACGCGCGTGGACATCGTATTCTCCCAGGTGTTGAGGAAACCGCTGGGGGAACACTGGGGAGGGGCAGTCTCGGGGCCATCTTGTTTGTTTCTGGTCTTTCAGGCCTTCTTGAGGGCCTCATGGGGCTTCTTTGAGCTCACTGGGGCTGTCTGAGGACGCTCTTGGGCCGCTTGGCGCCTTCGGAGGCCGTCTCGGGGGCCTCTCTGGGCTGTCGTGAGGCCCTCTTGGGGCCCTCTAGGGCCGTCTTGGGACTCTCTTGGGCTGTCTTGTGGTCGTCTTGGTGCAATCTGTGGGGACTCTCGTTCGTGTTGGGTAGGTCTTGGGGGTGGAGAGGCGAACCCAGGAATCGCCGCCAAACCCGGAATTCTTTCGGGCGAAGTCGCTCAGGGCACGCAAACTCGAATCGCAGACTCCGCACCGAAGTCCAGAATTCCGTGCGACTCCCAGGAACCCCTGGAACCGCGAAGCCCAGAGTTCGCACCGACATCCAGAATTCTGTGCACAACCCCGCCGGCCCCGCAACAGCGTGGGAGGGCAGGGCTCTCCTCCTTTCCCTTTCCTTGCCTTGACAAGGAAGAGGATGGAGCAAGGGGAGGAGGAGGAGGAGGAGGAGGAGGAGGAGGAGGAGGAGGAGGAGGAGGAGGAGGAGGAGGAGGAGGAGGAGGAGGAGGAGGGAGAGGAGGAGGGAGGAGGAGAGGAGGAGGAGGAGGAGGAGGGAGGAGGAAGGAGTGAGGAGGAGGAGGCGGAGGAGGAGAGAGGAGAGGAGGAGGGGAGGAGGAGAATAAGAGAAGGAGGAGGAGGAGGAGGAGGGAGGAGGAGGAGGAGGAGGGGAGGAGGAGAGAGGAGGAGGAGGAGGAGGAGGAGTAGCAGGAGGAGGATCAGGAGGAGAAGGAGGAGGAGGAGGAGGAGGAGGAGGAGGAGGAGGAGGAGGAGGAGGAGGATGAGAAGGAGGAGGGGAGGAGGAGTGCCCCTCGAGGCCTCTTGGATATATCGCGGGACCTCAAGAGACGCTCAAGAGGGACTCTGCCGAACCTGCCGCAAAGGGGTTCTCTGGTAGGTTCTGTCGGGGGCTTCTTGGGGGCGCACTGGCGTCCTGGAAGGGCCTGGGGAGGGGTCTAAACGAGGGCCCTGAGAATGCTCCAAGAGGGCCCCAGGATGATTCTACTCAAGAAGGCTGCAAGATGTAGCTCCGAAGCTGCACAGTGTGACACAACCGTTGTGTTACACTGTGTTTTGGCTGGGTTCTCTTGGTGCCAGTTTGGAGCCTTGGGCCCCCTCGGGGGCTCCAGAGGCATTTTTCGGGCCCCTCCAAAACGGCTTGGGAAGGCCCCATGAGGGCTTCAAGAGGGCCCAAGGATGATTACAAAAGAGCCCAAGAGTGCTCCCGGAAGGAGCTTCACAGCCACACACTGTGACACAGCCGTTGTGCTAGACAATGCGTTTTGTTTGGCCCCTCTTGAGGCTATCTTGGAACTCTCCCGGTGGGCATCTTGGCCGCAAAGGAGTTCCTTGGTGGGTTCCGTCGGGATCTTCTTTGGGACCCACTGGCGTCCCAGAAGGACCCGAAAAGGAGTCTAAGACGGCCTTAAGAATGCTCCAAGAGGGCCCCAGGGTGACCCCACCTAAGAGGGCTGCAAGATGGAGCTCCGAAGCCACACAGTGTGACACAACCGTTGTGTCACACTGTTTGGTTTGACTGGGTTCCCTTGGTGCCACTTCAGAGCCCTTTTGGGACCTCTTGGAGCCTCATAGGGGGCCCAGGCGTTTTTTTTCTGCCCCCCCCCCTCCCCCTCTTTCGGGCCCCTCAACTACGGCTCGGGACGGCCCCAGGAGATCACCGAGAGCGCTTCAGGAGGATTGCAAGAGGGCCCAAGAGTGCTCCCAGAGGGAGCTCCAAAGTCGTGCAGTGTGATACAACCGTTGTGTTACATTATGCGTTTTGTTTGGACCCTCTTGGGGCCATCTTGGAACCCCCCTTTGAGGACCTCTTGGGGCGCCCATGGGAGCTCGCAGTCTCCAACGGGGGCCCTCGGGTACCATATTAGCTCTATCCCACGAGATCTGCGGATAGAATGGGCTTGGAGCGCTGTGAGGGGATGTTCCGATGGGGCACTCTACTGTGTCGCTCGTCCGCCGCCGCCTTGGCTCAAGGCGGCACTGCCTTATCCGCCTCCGTGGCTGGCGCTGTTTGCTGCGTGCCATTTGCGGTGCTGGACGGGGAAGCGGCATCTCTCCCCTCGCAGGTACAGACATACTCACTCGGGTGTTCTGGGTCGATTTGGTCCAGGGATGGGGCTTCCTATGGTGTTCGGGCCCGATTTCAGCCCTCCCAGATCCAGGAATGAAACTATCGTGTTCTGGCTCTTGATTTGGTTTAGAATGAGAGTCACTAGGGTGTCCTGGCTCGATTTAAATTCAACGATTCCCTGCACCAGAATCCCCACATGGGGGGGCCGAGTATTCTAGGTTGATTTCAGCCCTCGCAGATCCAGAAATGGTATTCATCATTGTTTTCAGGCTCGATTTCAGCCGCCGCAGGTCTAGAAATTGGCAGGGGTATCGGATTCTCACCATTCCAGCTGTCCTGGGTCCAGAACGTGTGGCAGGGTCATCGGCTTCTCACCATTCGAAAGTTCGCGTTCTGTGGTCGCTTGGGGGGGGGGTTTGGAACCGGACCCCCCCCACCCCTTCAGTGACGGAGGGGAGGGGGGGGGGTTCCCCCCCCCCCTCCCCCCTTCTGTGACGGGGGGGTGGGGGTTGCAACCCCCCCCCCCCCGTCCCCTCTGCTTCCCCTCTCCTCGGGCTGGCGCTTGCGTCGGCGGCGGCTGGCGACGGCGGCGGGGACGACGATTTCCATTTCTGGGCTGGCGACGGCCGGCGCCTGCGGCGGCTGGCGGCGGTGGCGGGGAGCGTCGACGAGGACGACGGTGGTGGTGGTGGTGGTGGTGGTGGTGGGTTGTGTGGGTGGTGGCGGCGGCCGCTCGGGTGGTGGTGGGGGTGGTGGTGGTAGGTGGTGGTTTGTTGTTGTGTGGTTTGGGTTGTGGTTATGCGGTTGGTGGTGGTGGTGTTGGTGATTTGGTGATGGTGTGGTGGTGGTCTGTGGTGGTGGGTGGTGGTGGTGGTGGGCTGTGGTGGTGGGTGTGGTTTGGTGTGGCATGTGTTTGGTGGTTTGTGGTGGTGGTGGTGGTGGTGGGTGGTGGTGGCGGTGGTTTTGTGGAGGAGGTGGTGCTGTGGTTGGGGTGGCTGGTGGTGGTGTTGGTGGTGGTGGGTGGGTAAGGTTTTTGAGTGGTGGCGGTGGTGTGCTGCTGGTTTGTGGTGGTTGGTTAGTGGTGTGGGTAGTGGTGGTGGTGGTGGTGGTGGTAGTCGTGAGTGGGTTTTTGTGGTGGTGGTGGTGTGGTGATCGGTGACGATTTGTGGTGGTGGTGGTTGGTGGTGGCTGTGGTGGTGGTGGTTGGTGTGTTGGTTGTGTGGTGCTGTTGTTGGTGGTTGTGGTGGTGGTTGAGGCGGTGGTGGTAGGGTGGTTGTGGTGGTGGTGGCGGGTAAGGAGGTTAGGGTATCGTTCGCTGCGTACCCGCCGTCGCCGGCGCCAGCGCCTGCCGCTGCTGGCCAGCGCCAGCGCGGAGCGCCGGGCGAGGGGGGGGGGGTCTTGCCCCCCCCCCCCCCTCTGGCGCCAGGTGGTGGGGGGTCCTGGGGGGGGGGTTTGAACCCCCCCCCGGCCTTGAGCTGCCTCTGGTCATCGTCGCTGTGTCCCCGCCGTGGCCGTGGGCGCTGCTGGCGGCCGCCAGCGCCGGCGCCGGGCCGGCGCGGAGGGGGGGGGGTTTGAACCTCCCCCCCTCCATGGGAGGAGGGGGGGGCGTTGCTGCGTGGCGAGTACAGTGGAGTAGTATTTGTTTCCCTTCCCGGGCGTTGCCACGTGGCGAGGAGAGTTGAGCAATCTATGTTTCGCTCCTTGTCGTTGCCACGTGGCGAGCAGAGTGACATATTATGTTTTCCGCTTCGCAGGCGACGCCACGTGGCGAGTGTTGGAGTGGAATAGTTTTGGTTTCTTTCCCCAGTCCCTACCACGTGGCTGTTCAAATGGAATGGTTTTGGTTTCCGCCCGCAGGCTTTGCCGCGTCGTAGGGGAAGTGAGTAGCATCTTTTTCGGTTTCCAGGCGTTTGCCAAGTGGCGGGTAAAGAGGAATCGTTACATTCCGCCGCACAAACGTTGCCGCGTGCCGGGCAGAGGGGCGATGGAGGAGAAATGAGGAGGAAGGAGCGAGGTGGGGGGAAGGGAGGAGGGAGGAGGCAGGAGGGACGGGGGAAGAGGGCTCACTGACCAAACTGCCAGGTCTGCGAGCGGGTCGCCATTGCTAATTCTTGTGGCGAGTTGTGGGGCACCGAGGAACTGCCAATGAGGACGCCCACTGTTTGGGCGCAGCCCAATTCGCAGCCTTCTATGGGGATTGCTAGATCGAGACATGCCCTGGCTAGCAACCGCTCAGGGTTCGCTTCGCTAGCGTGGCACGCACTGAAGCGCCTTTGTGGGGGCATCTCTGACCGACTTGATGGCGACCGAGGTCCTTTGGGGGACCGCGTAGAGCATATTGGGTGGGAAATCCAGTGGGTCCCACCCCTATCGCGGGGCTGGCGGGCTGGGCTGGAGGCCGCCGGGCATTTGAGGGGCCAAGGATGCCATTGCATTTGGCACGTTAAGCGTCTTTGTGGCAGGCTTCGGGAGCGGCGGATCTTGGGCGTTTCGTGGTGGGGGTGTGATGATTGGGGGGTGACTGAGGGCTGCGGGAAATAGGCGCCAACGACAGGTACACCTTCCGCCACCCCGCCGTCTGTAGCCTCCTAATTCAGCGACGCCCGAGGAACACCAGTGAACCTTCGGCCGATCCCGCCATCTTGCCTGGCTTAAGCGTCGAGGGCGCAGTGGGATTGGTCGCCACCAGTAGATTATTTCCCACCCGTGATCTTGGATAATCAATCTCTTACTTTGTATTATCGGGGGGCATTGCCTGTCCTGCCTTGCGGTCCTTTCTTGTGCCCGACGCGGGTTCGACACGGGGTCAACTTGGATTCGACGCGTCCGACAAACATTCAACGCGGGCATGACGCGGATAGCGACACTATGGGGAAGGCAAGGTCAGCCGAAAATGCAACACAACTGTTTAGGGCTCTGGGGCTTTTGGGGACATGGTTCGGAACACGGCGTTGCGTGTTCGGAAGCAGGGGTGTGATGTTCCAGCGAGGCGTCACCGTAATGTTGCACGGCTTTGTAGCTTTCGAAGCAGCAGTTGCTGATGCTGCTTGTGGGCCTGTTGTCAGGGGCAACGTTCGGGGGTGATCGGCTCAGGGGGGGACGCATCGACCCCAAATCGTCCATTCATCGCCGATAGGAGCCCGATTGGCCAACCCGCCGAGGAGCAGGCGGATTCGCTACCAGGGGGTTATCGCTGCTCTATCGGCGATGTATCCTCGATCCCAGGTCGATGTTTCCCCCCTCCTAGCGTTCCCCCCTCGCTTGGGGGCACCCGAAGAGCTGCACGTTCTCCCCGTCGTGGCCGCCTCGTTGTCTTGCCGTGCGCGTCTCCCCGCGCTCCTCCTGTCCTCCTACCGCTGCGCCGCCGCCGCCTCCCGCCTGGGCCCTGGTCGCGCCTCCGTGGCCCGAGCATGCCGCTCTGACGGCAGGGCGATCGTCCCACCGCCCGCCGACCAACAGGAGGAGGAGGGAGGAGGAGGAGGAGGAGGAGGA